ATTTATTAACTGGATTTAAAAAAAAAAAAAAAAAGGGCAGGGCAGCGGCTGGCAGCTCTGCTTCGTGCCCTGGGCCTGCCCCTCTGGCCCTCCGTTGGGGTCTGGTCTCCTGCAGCAGGATCGTGAAAGAGCACTGTGACGAATCGGCTGGATTTTATAAAATGTTGTGGTTTGATTTTTCTTGTGATCTTTATCAGACTTCATCCCCTTGCTGGCAGTCTAGTTTGGATGGTGCTAGATGTTGCTGAGTTCTGCAGCATTTGAAAGGAGAATATCAGTAAATTAACTGTGATTTAGATTCATACCTTGAAGCATAAAGTTCACATTGGTTTGGACTACTCTCGTACTGAAAAGAAAAAGTTTGTTTTTACAGGAGAAAACTGGTTTACCTTTCCTTTTTTTTTATTTATTCTAAATTAACTTGACTTTATTGCTTTAAATTGGTGTTTCAGTTCAACCCTTGTCTCCAAAGGACTAAAGGCTCGCGTGAATGCACTGTGCACAATTACCTCAGGGCTGCCTTCTCCCCAGGGTGTTCCTCCTCACGCTTTTTCAATCTGTTTGCCAGTGCCAGATGAATTTAGCAGATACAAATTTTCAAATACATAAAGTTTCTACAGATTTCTTGAAAATTTTGAACTTAAGCAGAACAGAGACATCCAATCAGTTTTTCTGACAGGCATGCTGCTAGATGAGTTCCGCTGCATTTTAGACGCCTGATTCAGGACTCTCCTGTCATCGCATCCAGCTAATCAAACCATGAGGCACAAAGTCATAGGAAACCAAGCTTAATAAATTCTGCAGTTTAGAGAACTGCTTGTTAAGTACTTGGAAAATGCTCAAGTACTGTGGAAAGAGATAAGATGGAGAGGGACTATGTTCTATTAACTTTCAAATAAGTCTTACAAAACTTGAATGCCTGAAAAAGTCAAGTCTTGTGTGCTTTAGTGGAACTCTGTGTAGTCATATACATTCATGCATATGAATCCAGTCTTAAGGTCTGATATTGCTTCAGCCTTCTGGGAAAATTTGCATATACAAAACGATATAAAACATGCGGAATAAATACTAGAAAAGAAACACTGCCTAACCTTTTTAAATTAAAAATAATTTAGAATTAAAATATAGTAAAATATATTTTTTAAAAAATCCAAAAAGGTAAATTGTATAGTGTCTCTTTAGAGTAAGGTCAATTCAAATGACTATAAATGAGAAATGGGTGGAGAAAAAGAGAGCGCCTGTATTTGCAGAGTGCTGCTGACACTTCCATTTTAATTTACGTTTTTAAAGTAATACCGAAAGCAGCTGAGTGACAGGGGATGTGAGTGATTAAAACGCCTGGTTCAACAAATACTTTCAAGATCTGTTAGACCCAAAATCATATTATTTATCCTCTCTGAACCTATTTGAAGGTTACTTTTTGTTTTCTTTAGTTTTGTGAGATGAAGGAAGCTCAAAGTTTAGCAGGGTGGGGAGACGACACGCTCCCACAGCCTAACCTAATTTGTGGGAGCTCTCCATTCCAGAACTGCAGGTACTTCCATCTTCACTCCGTAGCCTCATTGCAAAACAAGAAAGGCCTTCGAGATGTTGGAGTGCTTCATGGAAAATGGAGAAAAGTAGAAACAAGCTTCAGAAGCTAAAAGAAATAGCTTTACCTCTCAATTTAATGTTTAATGTCATAGTAGGTGCCTGCTTGCATTGGGCACGTAACTCTAGATCATTACATCTAGAAATCTCAGAACGTAGCACAAGCAGAAATCCTGCTTCTTGAAATGTTAAGCTTTACAAAATAAATCCTCTGGTCAGGTGCTACAAAAAGTATTTAAAGCAACTTTCTGCTCTAAAGAAGAAATTGGATATATCACTTTAATGAGCTATAGGTAATATTCAGTTATATCCTTGCTTAGTTGTAGTAACCATTATGCCTCTTTGAGGGAAAGAAGTCAACTTGATGCTCTTTTGCTTATGTGTCAGGGACCTTAATATATGGAATACTGAGCAATATCACATCCCACTGAAATCAGTGAGAAGTACTTGATATTTTGTATGTTAGATGCCAGCCAGCATCGTTAACTGAATGCCAAGTGCAGACTCAGATTTTACTCTACTTGCAAGGCAAATGGGATAAAATTTAATTTGAGATTTTCTTTTTTTTTTTTTTTCATCAAAATGACCCAAAGTGATCTCTGCTTGCCACATGGGATTTAAAGATCTAGCAGTAAAGAAAACACATGCTACTTTTTCTATACAGTGAATATATTAGTCACTCAAATTTCCTGTGATACATTCAGTCTTTTGCTGGTGGGTGAAAATGCTGAATTCAGAGCTTATTTAAGAAGTTTAGTTTACTCTTTACTTTAAAAAAAAAAAAAATTGTTCTGTGTAAATTTGAAAGCTCCTGATTTTTGAATGGGTGTTGGGGCATGGAGTGCATGATCTATGAGTATATTTAAAGTATGCATACCACTCCCTCTGTTAACTACATGTATTTCCCACTTCTGTGCACTGTATGATGACTTCATTCACTCTTTATGTTTTCTCCTAACCTGATCCAGGAATACTGATCCATCAAACAGTGTGCTGAGCATGTAAAAATTTCAAGCCTCAGTCCCATAGACACTTCTAAGTTCTTGAGTAGTCTTATTAAACTCAAACTGTATGAGTTACAATTATTCTTATTCT